CGCGGGCTGGTCGCGCACCGCCAGCACCAAGCACGAGCTGAGAACACACGGCGAGCAGCGATCGACGTTGTTTGAGCGGGGTTCTGTGTGCTCGATCCGCCTCACCTCCACTCTCCCTCATTCACCAGTCTCGTTGTCTCACTGTCTCTCTGTCTCTCTGTGTGCCGTGTGGATGGACGCCGGTTAGCGAGTGTACTCCGCTACTCTTGAGTCTGCCGATCTTGTTCAAACACTCCCCACTCCGTACTACGTCTGCCACGCCTGTTCCATGTCCGCCGACCAATCGGCGTCCACGTTTCCTCACTACTCGACGGTTACACCAACGGAAACGCAACGGAGGGTGTTCAACGTGTCCCCTTCGTATCGCGTGAATCTACGGCGCGATAATGCGAGCGGGGAAACAGCCAGACCTTCGAGCGTTCGACGAAGTACGAAGAGCGCAGCTGCGAAATATCCCGCTTGCGCAATATTCCACAGGATGCCGGGCCACGGCGCCCGACCACCACGTCCCGACGGCCGCGTCCCGATGCTCCTCTCTCATGTCATGTCAACTGTCTGTCTGCCACACGTTTGACACCTATCGGCGCGTGTCACGCGACGGGCTGATTTTCTTCCATTTCTTTCTTTCCTTATTTTCTTCCTTTCGATTCTTTCCTCCTATCTTTGGATACGTCTCCTTTTCCTACATGTTCTTATTCTTCTTTCTTTTTATTTTATTTTAAGTCGATCGCTTGATTTACAGTTTCTTGTATTTCACTTTCCTTTCTCTTTGTGCATTCTTCTTCTTCTTCTTCTTCTTCTTCTTCTTCTTCTTCTTCTTTTGCTTTGTTCCAATATGTTTGAATATGTTATTTGGTTCAGTGAATCGATACACACAGTTTTTGAAGATAGTTTCCGAAAGAATGTTCGAATTGTGTTTCTCAAACTCGTGGCGATTTTGTGATCTGCGGAGGTTCACGACGGTGCTCGGAGAAGAGGAAGAACGAAGCTACGTTTCTGGTGCAGTACAGGTTCGTAGATCTGTTTGATACAGTAGATTTTTCACGCGTTCACGACGCTTCGCGCTATCGCTAGTTACGCGTTCCTCTTACTTTGCTTCGTCCGTTCGTTGAATTTTCGTAGAAATTTCTTATCGACGAATAAAATTAGTCTGCGATAGCTATCGTGTACTATACGATATTTTCTAGAGCGATACTCTGTATCAAATACTCGATAGAAAATTATTTATTTCTTCAACCTTTTTATCGATTTTTCGTATTTGAACAAACGTTGAAACAGTATTTCAATTAATTAAGAATAGCTCGTTATCGATTTCTATTCGTCGACGGATCGTGCGAACGTATTGCACAAAAATTTGAATTACTCGCTAAATTAGATTATCTAGAAAATTGGAGTCGTTGCGACTGAAAGATCGTGAAATTTGGATTCGATGGATCGGTCGTTTTATTTTCTGCGTTTTCTGTGGCAGGTAGACGATGTCTTCCTTTTACGACCCGTTACAACTTGAGCAAATCAAACGAATTAGATGCGCAAACAAACGTGAAATATTGAAACTAATAACACGTAGCTAGTGACATAGAACTTGTTTAAATTAGTCAAACGTCCACTTGTTCTCGAGTTACTTCGATGCTCGAAGATCCAGTAAACGCAACAACATCTTGGTGGAAATTCTGATTAGTTTACAGTGTGTTTGAGAGTAGAATTATCAATGACCGTAGTAAATAATTATGACTCGATTATTTGGTATACGAGAAAAGAAAATGATGTACGTAACTACAGCATCAAACAGCAGGTCGTTTTTACAGTGGTAAGATAGTAAAATACGAGAAACTTAGCTGACAAAGGCCGACCCTATAAAAGCAAATAGAATAAAATGCAGACAATGTATGAATGTACACATAACTTGGAATGTAACGCGCCGTTGCAAATGTTTAACTTTATCAGAAAGAAAAACACGAACGTTTTCTCTGGACTATCTGGAAATAAAGAATTTTTGGGGGGGAAAAATGGAAGCTCGTTAAGTAGAGTTTGGCAATAGTAAATGAGAGGAGTAAATATTGACGGATAATAGATTCGTCAAATTGTACGAGTGTACTGTTAGAATCATTTAGCTTGGAAAATAGATCACTTAAATCTAACAACATAAATATTGAAGTATAGCAAATTACAGGGAGTTTGGACTGGCTCAATCAACTTACATAAGAATACCGCTGCTTTCATTACCTATGTCAAAGCTAGATAACTCAAACAGTTACCGATAACATTTAATTACAACAACAAATATACACGCATAATATTTATCTATATCCGTATAACACACTGATAACTCTAAACATCCAACGTAAATTTGTCGATATTTACGATTGAGTTAAACCTCTTCTACTACAAGTAGGCACACTCGAATTTTTTTTTTTTTTTTTTTTTTTTTT